TAAACCATTACAACAGTTATGTGAATTACTAAAACTATTGTCCTCATTTTACATAAGGGAAACCTGAGATTCAGACAGGTTAACTTACTCAAGTTCACACAACTCTGAAGTTGTGAAGCTGGGCATGGACCTGAGAAAGAAGATAAGGATACAACTAAGTCTATTATAAGGCAGAAACTACTGTGTAGTAGTAGGGTCAGAGGCAGGTCCAAAATGGTGGTGCTGATGATGCCAGTGATGCTGCCACTGCTGATGATAGTGATGGTGATGGTAGCGATGATGATATTTATGATGATGCTGGTGCTGGTAATGACAATGGAGGTAGAGTGATGATGATGATGATAATGGGGCTAATGGTGAGCATGGGAATTATGTGAGCACAGTGATGATGATGGAAATGATGATGGTGATGATGAGAGGTACGATAATGCAGATGATGATGGTAATCCTCTGGAGCTCATTTATTGACTTTCTGCTTTGTGCTGAACCCTGACATGGAGATGTTCTCTTGTCTCGTTTAATCTCTACAATAGCTTGCTAATGTCAGCATTATCATCTCCTTTTCACTCATGAGGGCCCTGAAATGGAGAAAGCCCAAGTGGTCTAACCAAGTGCACACATCCAATCTGAGCTGAGCTTCAGCTGAAGCATGCCCCACTGTACTGTTGGGGCTCTGTTCTTCCTTGTACTGGGATCCCCAACTTGTGGACCAGACATCTCAGAGATGCTCCACAAGTATTTGTTGAATGACTATTTAATGAATAGATCTTCAAGGGGATCAAAGCCTTAAGTCCAGGAGACATGAATATCATGTCTCAAATGAGTATTTAAATATATTGTGGTGATGTGTGGTTATGCTGTGATTCCCAAAATGCAAGTTAATTGAAAAGCATTACATTAATTGTAGTTTTTGTGTTGTTGTTTATTTTCCCAATGAGAAGATACTATATGCAAAAGTTATCATTTTTGGAAAATATAGTTATATTAAAAATGTGCCCTTGTACTGAAAACCACTAGGAAGCAACATGCCATCCTGCATGGCATATCTATAATGGTTTGTCTGGTGTCTGACACAGAGAGATCATTTGGAGGGGTGAAGAATCCCAGAGGCCTGGCGATCAAGTCTGTGGCATTTGTCCTGGGTCTACAGGTAACTTTAGTACTAGACCTTACCCATCATTCTCAATGATTTTATCTCCATAGACCTGACCCCAACATCTAATGACTTTCCTCAAATGACTATTGAATGTATGATGCATGAGTAAATGGATAATGAAAGAAAAAATGAGTGAATTACAAGGAACTATGCTCAGGGAGTCCATTGTTGATGAGTGCTGTCAAGTCAGTTGTCAACTCACAGTGACCCCATGTGATAGAGTAGAACTTCCCTGTAGGGATTTCTTGGCTGTAATCTTTACCAGAGCAGATTACCAGGTCTTTTTCCTGTAGAGTTGTGGAGTAGGTTTGAAACACCAGTGTTTTGGTTAACAGCCAAGTCTTTAACCATTATACCACTAGGGTATCTTAAAGAGGTATTTTCCCCAAGGAGTATGTGAAAATGGTAGTTTCTCAGGCCCAAGAGCAAGAATAGAATGCCTTGGGGTTCAGCAGGGGCTGGTGACTTGAATTCAGCTCTGAATGGGGTTATAAGTTTATTGTTGTATCCCCAGGCAGACCTGAACTTGACTGTGATGAGCATGTTGGGGAAGGATTGGTAGCTGGGGCTTGGCTGTGAGACTACTCTCAGCAAGATTGTGCTCACCACTTTTGGATGCATTTTTCAAACTCAAATGAAAGTTGACAGATGGCAGTGGTATAATATTCTCACTTTCTCACCTTCCCACAGTCCTCCCTCCAACACAGTCCTCCAAGCTCTTAGACATCTCTGACACATCTCGACCATGAGACCATGGCTGGCTTTTGGCAGGCAAGCCGTCCTGCCTGTCCCCCACACCAGTGGACAGAGAGCAATTTCAGCACAACCCACAGGCCACTGGGCCATATTTTGTGGCCAGAAGGTAGTAGGGATGGCTTCAGCCTTGGGCAGGAGAATGGAACCCCACACTATCCTCAGACTTAAGGAAAAAAAAAAAAAAAAAAATGTCCAGGGTTCTGCAGCTGGCATTTTTGTAAGCAGCAGCATATGGTGAGGGAAATATTCCTGGGACAGAAGCCAGGAAACTGATCTAACCCCACCTCTGCCTTTACTGCTCAGGAAAATCTCCAGCCAGCACCTTCCTTTCTGGGTCTCTGTTTCTTTGTCTGCAAAGTGAGGGAGTGAGACGCAGTGAGCTGGGCAGGCGTCAAGCCAGCCATTCAAGGCTCCAGCCAAGATCAAAGAATGAGAGTGAATGGACAGTGGGGACAGCATTGCAGCTGGCTGCCTCTTCTAGGACTGAGTCTCCTGTTCCTTGGACCTCACAGCCCTGGAGATCCTGGGTTGGGCTCTATGTGCCATGTGTCTGCATATATACACTTGAAGAAGCCTGGGTCCCTTTAGCAAACTCTGTTTGAAGTCAAACTCAGACATTGACAATAACCAGTCCCATGTCTGCCATCTCAGGGCTGGGAAACACACCATGGTCACTATAGGCTATTGGTGCCAAGATGGGAAGGGAAGGGCAGAGACTGCCAATGTGCTGAGATCATGGGCAGGACCCAGCACAGAATGTAGGGTGTGAGCATCAAGCTTGGTGAAGGGCAAAACAGTGCCAGAAACCAGGCTAACCTAACAGTTAGGCTCTCATTTGTGCAGAAGGGAGTGTAGAGGTCAAAGCTCACAGGTAGATCACAGGCATGAAAGGCCAGGAGTAGCTGCCTTGGAGATGAGGTCTATGGGGAAGGTTGGAGACCATTTAACTAGTAGTCAGAGCTGTCTGGCAGGCTGGAAACTGCCACTCTCAGACAAGACAACACCAGGGTTTACGGCAGCAGTGAGCTCAGAATGAGTCGACACCCTGTCCCAGACCTGCCTCCAGCACCTGCCTGAGTCTGGCCAGGCTCAGTGCCTCCTCAAGGGTCCAGTTGGCCTGGGCTCTAGGGGAGAAGGGTCATCCTGACTGCCTCAAGGTGGTCCAAGGATGAGCATGAGAGTGTCTGCCTGCATCTGCCACCTTGGCCTGGAGATCTGGCCTAGAAGGCTCCTCCTGAGCATACAATGTTGCTTGGCTGGCACAGGTGCAAGGCATACTGGGAACTTGGAGGCACAGGAGGCTGGGGACTGGAAAGAAGCTTTAAAGCAGGTGGAATTGGACTAGAGGGACCCTCGGCACCCCAGCCCTACCCTTCATCACTCTGTCCCTCTACCTCTTCGTGCTCAGTGTCTCCTTGTCTAGGGAGCCTTTCAGGGTCCCCAACCAGCCATAACTGGGTCAAGGGTGCTTTCTCTGTGCTCTCCTGCCAGAGTTGTTATTGTTGTTGTTAGCTAGTACTGAATTGCCCCCAAATTATGGTGAGCCCATGCACAGTGGAGCAAAATGTTGCTTGGGTCTGCACCATCCCCATGATTGGTTGTGATCTATAGAGCTTTCATTGGCTGATTTGTGGAAATAGATCACCAGGCCTTTCTTCTTAGTCCGTCTTAGTCTGGAAGGTCCCCTGAAATCTGTTCAGCGTCATAGCAACACACAGGCCTCCACTGACAGCCAGGTGGGTGGCTGCACATGAGGTGTGTTGGCTGAGAATTGAGCTTGGGTCTCCCATGTGGAAGGTAAGAATTCTACCACTGAACCACCACTGCCTCTACTACTACACAGTGTGCTCCTTTCTCATTAAATGTACCTCCCTAAGCTCAGTTGTTGATTTCTAAGTTGTCTCCCCCACCACACTGAATCCCTTGAAGACAGGACAGTGTCTTAGCCATTCATTACAAGTAAGTGGCAGGAGCTTTGAGAATGAAATGCTAGGTAGGGGATCTGAGGCAGGATCTGGACATCTGGACATATTTTGTCGCCTGCTTTGCCCTGTTCTCTGAGCTGGACACTGAGGCACAGTGATAAATAAAGCATGTCATTGCCTTCAAATCTTCCAGTCTGATGGAGGAGCTGGACATGCAAATACCCACAGTCTAGCAAAATCTGTGAAGACAGCAGAGGTCTCTCTGTCTGGTTTGGTTATTGAGGAGATTCAGAAAAGAAATAACCTTGAAGGTACCATTTGAGCTAGGCTTTGACGGATGAGTAGAAGTTCACCAGGTTTAAAAAAAAAAAAAATGGAAGAAGGACATTGTAGGCTGAGGGGACAGCAAGAGCAAAGGTGGAGTAGCTGGTACATAGGGCACAAAAGGAGGAGTGGGTAGAAATGTGGCTGCAGATGTTGGCAGGACTTTGAAGCCACACTTAGGAGGTTAGGCTGGACCCAATAAGATCAGGGAAGGGAGATGATTAGCTCCTTGGTGCTGAGAGAGGCCTCTGGGCATCAGGTAGGGGCCGTGCACTCTACTGAATGCTGAGAGGAGGCACTCACAATAGAACCTACAGAACCTGAACAGGGGAACTGGGACAGGATACCCTGTGCTGAAATGTCTATGGCCCAGAGTCTCAAGGCCTCAGGGACCCCACTCCTAACCTTCTAGTCTCCCAACCAGAGAATCCACAAATGCTTTGAGATTCCCCACCCTGATCGGCGGGCCCTGCTGGGAGCAGGGTTGCTGAACTTCCTATCAGTCACCACTTCTTCCACCCTCACCCGGGTCTCCTTTCCTCCTTCTGACCCTGAAGAGCAGCCATGCAACTATGGACAATAGTGCCTATGACGATTCATTTTAAATTGTTGAATGATATCTCACAATGCAAAGTGTGATGGCAAAAGAAACTACTCATTGGCACCCACTCTCAAGTGGCACACAGGGCTCATGCATATCTTCCCTACCCTGTGCTGCAGAGTAATGGGCCTTGGGCAGAAATCCTTTCAGAATACAACATTGTTATTAAGTCCCTTTCAGCTCTTTTCTTCTCTGCTAAATAATAACAAAGTGGCTCCTGCCCTAGAGTGGTTTCCTGTGTAGTGGGTAATATTTCACAGTTTCATAACTTTACAGTTTCCTTTCCTGGCAGAACTCAAAACACTCTCTCACCTGTTGTCTCAGAAGAAGTAGAAAGAGTCGGCTATGGAACAGAGAGAGTTAGACTTCAATTCCATTCTTTCTACCCCTTGGGGAACAATGTAGCCGGTCTGAGCCTCAGAGTTTCACCTATGCAATAGGGAGTGTGATACCTTCCTGCAAGGGTGGTTCCAGAACCAAATGCTATACCACGTGAAAGGCCTGGCACAGTGCTCATCACATGGTCTCACTTACATTCTATGCTGCTGTGCCATCTCACAGGCTACAATACAGCAAGCAGTACTGGCAGGCAGTGGTAGGCTAGATAGGCCCATAAGTTGGTGCTTCAAAGGTTGGTGGTACGCACGAGCGTTAGTATAGTGCCCTAATGGGAAGTTAGGTCAATAAACTTGACATTCCTATGAAAAATTCAGTTCAGTAGAACTTTCCTGTAACCCCCCTGTTCCAGGCACTGGTGGACTGTAGGGCCATGGACAGGAATAAGATGGTACCTTCTGCAGAATGGACATGTAAACAAAGGAATGCAATGCACTATGAAAAATAGCAGAAGAATCACATGCAAGAAACAGGTGAAGTACAGAAGAGAGGGAGGGAGAAATTCTGTAAGTGATTTTGGTTAAGAAAAGAATTATGAGCTGGCACTGGAAGGATCGATAGGACTTTTTCAAAGCAGGAGGGGTGGAGGAAGGGAGGGGGCAGAAATTCCAGGCAGAGGGACCAACATGTGCAAAGGCATAGCTGTATAAAGTACCAGTGTTGGGTATCAGTAGCTGGTGTGCATATTAGCTGCCCAGCCGAGCTCCCATCATAGAAAAGCATTCAAGGAATCTTAGCACCCAGCCCGCTCATCATCCCAGATACCATCTGAGGGCCACTCCCAGGCCAGCCCCACATTTTAAGAAGAACATCAGTGATCTTTTTGATGAAGCCAGATATCAATCTTTAATGCCTCTTAGTCAGTGGTTAAGCGATTGGCTGCTAACTGAAAGTCAGCAGTTTGAACCTACCAGAGGCTCCACATGATAAAAGTTCTGGTGATCTCTTCCCATAGACTGTTACTGATATTACATGCCATCAAGTCAGTTCTGACTCATAGTGCTCCTGTGTACAATAGAACAAAACACTGCCAGGGCCTGTGCTATCCTCACAATCCTTTGTATGTTTGAGCCCTTTGTTGCACCCACTGTGCCAGTCCATTTCATTGAGGGTCTTCCTCTTTTTCACTGACCTCTACTTTACTAAACATGATATCCTTCTCTATGTACGATCCTTCCAGACAGCATGTTCAAAGTATGTGAGATGAAGTCTCTCCATCCTCGCTTCTAAGGAGCATTCTGACTGTACTTCTAGTGTTGTTGTTGTTGTTATGTGCCATCAAGTCATCTCTGACTTACAGTGACCTTATGTACAACAGAATGAAACACTTCCCTGTTCTGTGCCACCCTCATAATCCCTACTATGCCTGAGCCCATCGCCACAACCACCATGTCAATCCATCTCATTAAGGGCCTTCCCCTGTTTCTTGACTCTCCACTTTACCAAGCATGACATCCTTCTCCAGAGAATGGTCCCTTCTGGCAACATGGCCAAAGTAGGTGAGACAAAGTCTGGCCATTTTCACTTCCAAGGAGCATTCTGGCTGCATTTCTTCCAAGACAGATTTGTTAGTTCTTTTAGCAAAAGGGGTAAATTCTGTAGGTGGTTTTGGTTAGGAAAAGCAATCTTTTTAAAATCACCACATATGCATGTGAAAAATAGACAGTGAATAAGGAAGATGAACAGAGAATTGATGCATTTGAATTATGGTGTTCCCAAGAATATTGTTAGCTAAAAGAACTAACAATATTCTTGGCAACACCATAATT